GTCACCAAGAGGGACCTGGGGACACCCCCACAATCCCATCACAACAGTTTCAGACACTTGTTGACGAAGAAGCCCCTGCCCTGGGTCTAAATAAATACATTTGCTCAAAGGCATCTTTTCTCTTGCTCATTCTTTTCCTGAACTTGCTGGGTCCCACAGCCCCAGGGGTACAAACAGAGGGGTGGCGGGGAGGGGGGGCTGCAGGGGACTGTGCTGGTTGGGGCAGGGAGGGTGGGGGTCAGGCTGGCTGGGTGCTGGGTGAGTAAGTCGCTGTCGAGCTGCTTTGCCAGAGCTAAAATGCAGCAGGGCGAGGCAGGTGGGCTCCTGGAGCAGGTAGTTCTCCATTTCCTTTCCGTAAGAGTTATTTGAAATTTGAAACAATGTTTTTATGTAAAATATTTCCACTGTCCCTATGAAGATTATCATACCTTTTGGTAAAAAGTATGTTTTTTTCTTCTATGTCATCACTGTTTTGAACTTTACTTTGTTAGAACAAATTAGAAAATCCAATATATTGCTTTAAGAGAGAAGGAGGCAGTCAGGAAAATGTTTCTATTAACGCAATCCCAAGGAGAGAAGAAGAATCTACTACAGTTGCTCATGCTGGCAGCTTTGAGAGGATGCACAAAAAGCTATTTTTTAATTAGACAGATACTTTGTCAGGAGAGCAGCTGATTTGTAATTGTTCTCCTAGCACCGTTGGCAGAGGTGTGCAGCCCCATCCGCCCTCTGCTCCTCTCCATCGAACAGCGCACGAAGGGACCAGGCAGCTCCCGGCGCCAGCCCCTCACCTCCTCAAGACACAGGGGACAGCCCAGGGCATCCTCAGATCAGGGTTTAATTCTGCTGGGACCGAGGAGCTGCTCTGTGCAGACCACTGACATCCCTCTGCCTCAGGGCTCAGCACCCACTGTCCAACTTCAGTGACAAATGCGTCCCCCTGAGCCACAGCCTCTCTGGGGACAGCGAGGGCTGGTGTGGATGCTCGTGCCATCTTCAGAGAGCAAGTGTCCCAGCCGCGCCGGCAGCGAGAGACCTGGAGATGCGGCCACACTGTGAGCATGGGAAGGCGTTGATGATACAGCGCTGGGGCCAAATAAACCCTCCCTGCCCCACCGGGGGACAGGAGGCAATGTCACATCAAGGCACGGTTGAAGAGGAATGTGTGGTTAAGTCACAGCCCTGTCCGCACGCTGGAGGAGAGCGGCAGGGTGAGCTGGCTGCTCTGGAGAAAGGGAGCCACCCCAGCCCCGTCCCCCAAGCCGAGTCCCTCGCTGAGGATGGAGCCGGTCTCGCGTCACTAATGGCGTTTTTTCTTCTGTTCTTTACGCTTCTGAGCCCTCACATCCTTCTTCAGGCGGCTGTCAACAACCTTGAACTGGCCCTTGACGCCGGGAGGACGACGCACCCGGGGTCCGACGCCTTTCTTAGCCACCAAGTAGGTGACGTGCCGCTTCTCCTTGGCCAGCCCAGCCTTCTTGTAGATGCTGCGGAAGAAGGGGACAAGGTGAGACTGAGACCCCGGCACCGCGTTCTCGCTCCAGCCGTTTGCCTTTGGGATGTGTCCAAAGACCAACATTGTGTCCCTGCACTCTGGGCCTTTGTGCCCCAAGATGAGGGTCCCTTTCTTGCTCTCCCAGCCCTCAGCCACCAGCCCAGCCTTTGCCAGCCCTGCTGGGTGACACGCAGGAGCTGTCCCCACGCCGTGGCTCCGGGGACAGGGCACCAGCCCAGCACAACACGAAGGATCTGGATCCCAGCTTCGCCACTCACCGTCGCAGCTGGGCCACCTTCTCCCTCTCTGAGATATCCACCGTGCTCACCACGGCCTCTGCTTTCTTCTTCATCTGCTCCATCTTCTTCAGCATCTGTAGGGACAGTGAGGGTGAGGGACGGGAGGGATCGGAGGCGAAAAACCGCCCCCCCCCCCCGCCGCTTCTTGCGGGCCTTGGCCTCTGCCACCTTCTTGATGGGGCGGGCGTTGATTTCACGCCAGCGCTGCCGATACGCTTCGACCGTCTGCCGGTCCACGGGTATCTGCTTGCACCGGTGCCGCTTCTCCTCCTCCGTGAACCAATCCGGCAGCTCTCCCTCATCCTCATTGAAGGAATACCTGGGAGCGGGGGGACTCAGGTGAGTTGTGAGTGGATGGGGTCCCAACACCAATATATCTGCCACCCCCCATGGTCTCTCTCTCGTGGTGGGAGACCCGACGCCGCTCCCCCTCCAGCACCCACAGCAGCCATTACCTGTTGAAGGAGTCGTCAATCAGGTCCCGCCTGGCCTTTTTGGAGGTGGCGATGACAGAACCCAGCGCCAGGCCCTCAGCGTCCAGGACACGGGCTCTTTTCACTGCAGCATATGGAGAAATTAAAGCTCAGCCTATCTGCGAGCAGCCCGAGACCCAGGAGCAGTAAGCAGCCCTGCCAGCCCAGATCAGCACCGTCTGACCCTGCCTCCTGTCCCTGCAGAGGGACTCGGGTGGCATCACTGGGTGCACAGGAGTCCTGACAGCACCCCCGCACTCACCCGGGTTCTCGATGGGCACCACCTAAAAACATGGCCCCGCGTCCTCCCCACCGGTGTCAGTGGCCTGCGGAGAGGAGAGTGGTCAGGGCTGGGGTCCTCAGCTCCCCGCTCTGCAGGGCTGTGGAGCTGGGGGAGAACACACCCCCCTCTCAGTCCTCACTTCTCATCGTCGCTGCTGCTGTCATCATCGCTGCTCTGCTCATCCTGCGCATTACCAGCGTCAGGTCCTGAGTCTGCGGTAGGTGGGGGCTCAGCTGGAGCTTCCTCCTCGGGAATCTGCTTCTTCTGCCCTTTCCTGCTGGCTTTGTCTGAGGAACACGAGCCACCAGGTGAGAAAGGGG